CCTAAAAGTTGAACTTATATAGAATGATGAATTTCTTATAATTTTCACATAGAAGAAGAACTTTAGTTAACATAATCATTTTTGTTTGTCCTTCCTTTCCGTCGGAAACATATTCTCCTTGGAGATGAAAATGCAGGCAAAGCAGTCAACTGCTCCTGCTATCATTTGCAACGGCAGGAGTGTTGGCTAGAGTGATGCAGAGGACAGTGTTCGGAGTACATGACCTCATCACACATTATTTGTGCTTTCAAAATTGACTACGTACCACAGTGCCTGGTGCAGAATGAGCGCTCCAAACTTTTCCCTTTAATATATCACATCAACTTCCTGAGACGTGGCTCTATTTTTGTCATGCTCATCTATCTTCCCCTTACTAAGATATTAATATACTGAGACTAAAGCCATAATCTCCTAGTTTCCTTGACTCTAGTTTTACCACTCTACATGTACTTGCTAGATTTGATTTTCTAAAATAAAAGTTGGATCACCTTATTACCTCACTCAAATACCTTTGATAACATCTAGCTTCAAGCATAATAATTGGCACATATTCATCACCAAATGCATATTTGATGAACAAATAAATGGATAAGTCCTCCATGGGAGAATTTCAAGTAGTTAGACCTTACTCTTATTTATTTCCTTATCTTTCTTTAGTTATTTCCTAAAATATGGAACATTCATTTATTGTTTGGCTTTGACATGTCAGATATCATGGGAGTTACTGAATTCAAAGAAATAACGGAACTCATGGCCTCTTTGAAAGAAAGTATGTGCTTAAGCCACATCAATTTATTTATTGTCTTCTGCTTTCCCATTGCCAAGATTTTGTTAGTGTTGTTTTGCCATGATAAAAAGCCTTTTCTTTCTTTTCTCTCCATGCACATTCTTTTTATCCCTCAGCTCAAATTGTAACTTGTCCTTCATAAACACTTACCTAACCACTCAAATATAAAGTGATCTCTCACTCAGTCCCTCCTCTGACTTGCTAAGGCAATTATTTTAATTACATCATATTTTATTTTGGCCAGAAATTATGCATTATAGATTTTCTGGTATGCTAATACTAAAATATGATTATAGAAATGTATAGTTTATGCTGTATCTCCTTATGTAGCATATTTCCCTTGAGGCTATGCCCTTCACATCATACTTAGTATTTCTTGGTGTCTTCCATGGGGCCTGGTATTAACATTTCCTCCCACAGTGTTTCCTCAGTCTATATTTGCTGATTAATTGATTGATGAGTTACTGTAAATTTCCTTGTATTTAACAGAGAGGTATGTACCTTGTGCAGACTAATGGATATCCAATAAATGTTGGTTTACTGTCCAAGTACAAACTGATCAATATTATGGAAATAATAATTAATCTTTAAATTACTATTGACAAAAGAGATGCTCCAGAGGATTCAAGAAGGGTTAGGAAATTAAGGAACTAAATATCTCCTTGATACTTTTTAATCTTTTTTAATTCATTACTTATCCTGTCCCCGTCTCTATTCCCATTTCTACTTAACTGCTCAGAGTAGAGATTCTTAACCTGGAGTCTCTGTTTCCTTATAAAGTCCATGAATGGATTTCAGCTGGTTGGAGCCCAATAAAATGTTATGCATAAAGAAAGCCAGACTGTTATTTAACAACACTAATTCAAGGCTTAAACCAAAGCTTATCTAACTCCAAAGACCTCGTTCTTCCAACTGCATCATGGTTTAGCTGATTTCTTGTGTCGTTAGGCAGAAAACCCATTAGATTATAAAAGAAGTGCAGTCTGGTTGTTGTACTGGAGTGTCCAAGGTAAGGTTTGTAATAACAAAACCACAAGAGAAGCAGCAGGAGAAACACCAACAAATGCTCATGTGTTGTTTGAGATGTGTCAGGCACAGTTCTGAATGCTTTATGGATTAAACTTCTTTAAACCTTACTATAAACCTGTGAAGGAGATACCACTGTGGCTATTCACATTTCATAGGTTAAAAACCTGGAGAACAAAGGTTAAGTTACTTGTACAAGGTACCAGGACACCAAACACAATGGTGAGGGGTAGAAGAATAGAGGCTTGGGAAGATAGCCAAGGTAAAAGTTTTCTACACCAAATATTCTTTCAATCTCTTCTGCATTCAAGGCACCCTCAGTTCCACCCTAGCCATCTTGCTTGGCTAGGTAGATCTCCGTCTATAGCGGCAACTATAGAGCCAGATAATTCACACCAGCCCCACATATGACTTTGAAGAGTCAGTTCTACAAATAAACCAGTCACATCAGAATTGTGAAGATAATCACTTGCCTCCATATCTCTTAGAAAGTAAAGTGGTGTGAGAAGGAGACCTTTCTAAGTTCTGGTGTTCTTCATATCCTTAATGTGCAGGTACAATTAAATACTTTATATATGATGTCAATGAGAGAGAATGGCCCTGAAATGAGCTTCAATAATGTGCAGAATACAGTTACCCTGTTAGCTAGTGGGTTGCCAGTAGAAATGGAAGTTTAAGTGGTTTTAACAGCAGATGTGTAATGTGCTCTGAATTGGAATATTTCGCATATCTATATGACAGCTAGGGATTCAGGGAATCCTACCCCAAACATTCCAAGCCAGAATGAATTTAAGTAATCTGTGCACAGTGCTGTTTCTAGCCTTAAAATTGTTCCACTTTATGTTAGATTGCAAGAGACCTGGTTTCTGGTTATAGTGTCATGTCCTCTTTGTGACTTAGCTGCATATGACTTTGTCGGGACATAGTTTCTTCTATTGAAAAAATGAGTTTGACAATATATAAAACTTGTGATTAAAGATGCAGTTTTTAAATATGATGATGTTTGGTAAAATGCTTGAGATTTTGGAGGTGAGTTTCTTTCCAAACAACATTAACGACAAGAAAATTATTTGTTCTTGAACAAATATAAAGTTTTAAAAGCATTGTAACTTGGTCACAGTTTGTAAAATAGTCTGCAACGACATTATCCCAAAATTTTGATGATTAATTTTCTATACAGTAAATGGTTGCTTGCTCTTTCTTAAGACGTATTATAGTTTAGTAATAAAAACTGGATAAGGTGTGAGAAGACCTGGATATTGGTTTCTGCCTTGTTTCTTGCCAGCTCTGTGAATTCGGGCAAGTCGTTGGGCTTCAATTTTCTCCTTTGTAAAACAGAAATAGTAAATTTTGAAAAGTATCAGAAAATAATAAAAGCTATCATTTATGGAGATTTTACTTGTAAGGATTAAGTTTTGAGTTAAGTGTTTTTTATAGATAGATAGATAGATAGATAGATAGATGATAGATAGATAGATAGATAGATAGATAGATAGATAGATAGATAGATAGATAGATGTAGATAGGTATATATGGCCTTATTTAATCTCCACTCCAACACTATGAGTTGAGTAAGAATTTCTATCCATTTTTAAGGTATGGAAACTGAAAATCAGAGAGGTTAAGTAAGTTGCCTGATTTCATACAGCTTACTATCAGAAGGGAAAGCCCAAGATCTAAATCTTAACCACAATGGTTCTGCTTTTATAAAAGTAATATGATCTACATAAAAAGAAATTATGTCTTTTTCTTCTCCTCTTCCTTCTCCGCATTTTTCTTCTTCTAGTTTTTCATTAATACTTTCTTCTTTTTCTCTTTGTCTTGTAATAATGATTGCTATTATTTGTAATACACAACCAGGAGTGGAACAAAACACAAGTCTGGATATGGTCCATAGCCAATCATTTGATTGTCTTTACTAATTTAGCAAATGTGTCTTAGTAACTTACTATATACCAAGCTATTCTGGGTGCAGGGATTCTATAAGCATGAAAACAATGTCGCTCCTCCCTTGGAGTAAGACATGTAGCTAAACAATTATAATATGAGGCAGGAGTGAGTATATATCATCAAAAAGAGATCAATGCCATACAGGGAGAGTTCAGAAAAGAAAATTAATAAATTCCAGGTAAGGAAATCATGCACTTTTGCACCAATGTCCAGAGACAATAGTGCTTGCCTTTGTCTAAACTATCAGAATAACTAGATATGTGGTTATTAAATGTCAAGGAGCTGGAGACTAGAGTAAATTGTTTATCTGGGAGGTTGGGCTTGTGAAATAAGGCAAACTATAAAGTGGTAACACCCCTCCCCCTCCTTGAGATACCACTCGAGAATTTAGTATCTTTAAGTTTTATTGATGAAAAAATATATTTACTGTGGAATAATATACTTTGATGGCTGGAGGAGGGAAGAAAGGAGGCTGAAGGATGGGAGGGGGATCCTTTCATATTTCACAGATGTTGATTTCCAGTTTCCACCTGGTAACAGCCTAGGGGCCAGAGCATAATGATACAAGTCAAAACGCAGAGACCTACACAGAGACAACTAACAGCATCCAGCAAGGAAATTATAAAAGCTCAAAAAATATTTCCAGTGGCTAAATAAATACCTTTCCTTGTAGTTGCTCTTTGTTTTGTTTTTCTTTTCATTTACTGAAATTTGAAAAGGGACATAGACTCTATTGCCTTTTCAAAATTGTAGTTTACATAAAAGTATAATCTATGAAAATAAAATTTTCCATATATAAATGATTAAACTATATTGTTATCAGCTACTAGTTATCTATGTTTTTTACTTAAAAACTGGTGAGCAATGAGAAAGATTTTAAACTATGATTAATAAAAGTGATAGATGACTTACTTTTCATATAAATCCATGGCTTGCTTTCAGGACACTTTAGAAATATGTTCAAAATATATAGAAAAACTCCACAGCATAGTGCTTGAATTTACACAAACATTCCAAGGCAAGTAAGAATCCGAATGAGTACTTTCACATCAGGCTACTCATTTACTTTTGCAGTCCACATTTAAAACAACTACAAGATTAATTTCATTCCATTTTCTGGACTTACACATCCTGAAAGCAGGAAAAAAATTCCATTTTGGAAGTATAATAAATGTTACTTGTAAACAAGGCTAGAAAGGGTGGAGAGTGGAATGGGATGGGGGTGGGGAAACAAACCCTTTAGTTACAATGTCTTAGGGAAATGAATCTACAATAAGACAAATTTCAAATCAAGTTGCTCCACTATCCTACACAAGCAGCTTAGAATCTTAAGCAGATGCAAAAAGAATATAGCAAATGGGAGGGAAAAAAAAAGGCCGATAAAGTTTCTGGCTACAATACAAGAGACATATCATTACCATATGATCTAATGTGGGTGTCAGCCGGATTGTGTTCATTGAGGGAAACCTTATTTTTTAACTGTGCTATGGAGTAGAAGCAGGAGGTTTTCAACTTAGTGACAGTCACAGAGCAGCACCTATCCCCTCCTCCTTTCCACACCTGCAAACTCTTTTACTTGGGCTGCATATTTAGTGTAATTACATCTCAGCTTTGAGGGCTCCCGTGGCAAATTCCTGGATTAAAAGGTATGGCTTTCAATAATTGTCCTGAACTCTGCTACAGACTAATAAAACTTCGGTCAAACTGAGAGCAAAAGGGATTATTTGGTGAGAAAAAGAAACGTAAAAAAAATTGCTAAACTTTTATAGTCTTTATGCGACATTTTAAACAAGTGTAGTTTAAAAGCAGACGTTAAATAGTTGGTAAAATGATTGAATGCCTTGTTTTACTTTTCTTTCTTTTCTGTTCTTGCAAAGATGCTTTTTAAAAAACTGTAACCTAACACCAGGACTCTCTATCTTGATGTTTTTGTGTTTGTATTAACGAATGTTTAGCTCTTTAGGAGGTGGTGAAAGCATTCTAAAGTGGAATACGATTTGTAATTGAGCTATATATTTAAAAATGTGTTTTTCTCCTGAATTTTTGTCTGCTTTAAGAGCTTTTAAAACCCCCAAACAAGTTAACTCTGGTGATTAGCTGAAGATATCTAATGTACATTTCTTCAAACCCAGAAATGAATAGAAATTATCACCAGAGAAGTGAAAAGAAACATTGAAAATATTTGTTATTAAATGGCTAAGATATTCACAATGCTGTATAATTTTTTAAATGTTAAGTGTCCTAGTCAGTATTTTCACTGCAGGTGAAATTTTAAGACACATTCACTATAAAATGAGGATGTGGGTTAATTTTCTAATTTTAAAGCAGGGTAACACAGTGACCACTGGGTAAGTGGGCTCCCAGTGATGTAAATACCTGTGGCTTTTTTTTTTCCTGTTACTCTTTCTAACCAGAAAAAGAGCCAAATGCCTCCTACAGTAACCCTTGTTTGCTGATAAATGTTGTTTTAGTGTTTATTTTTAAATTATATCTATTATTATTGAAGTTTTTAATCATCTAGTGCTGTAGGATTTAATGCTGCTTTGCATTTATAGCTTCACTTATCTCTTGAGGGTTAAATTTTGACTTTGAAAGTGACACCAAAGGCATAGATGACATAATGCAAATGTTGATCTGAATGATACAGTTCATTTAATGGGCTTAAGTAGTTTTAGGGACCAGAAATTATTATTTTTGGTAAAACGTTTGTAAACTATGGCAACTAGCTTTAGTGGAGCAATGATATTATATTAGTACTTATCATCTTGGAAAGTGGAAAGTGTCATGCATTTTGAGACTACTTAAAACAGTTTCAATAAAATTTAAACAGCATATCATCTCAACAACAGTCTCCTTGGTTTCTACCTGGACAGCTGCTCTTTGCTCTTTATATGTCTAATTAGTTGAGGAAATAAGGAAATGACTAAAGGAATTATTAGCATCCACAGCTCACATTAAATGTTTTAAGATACTGGGTCTTCAAGTACCATAACGCTAATTTAAAAGAGAGAATTTTGTGGAAGAATTTGCACAAAGTTTCTGCATATGCTATTTTTTTTCCACAGGACGGTCAGGGTTTAATGCACACATACACACATTCTCTCTCTTTCTCTCTTTCTCACACACACACACACACACACACACACACACGAGCAAATGAAAGTGAAATAAAAATCAGTGATTGAAGTCGTAAGATGCCTGTCTATATTCAGCTTCAATCTAAAAGAATATTGTTAGGAGAATTTGCACCATTTTAACAGGAGTAAACAAACATAAATTCTAATACTGTTGCTCTCAGTTAATGCTCAACGTTTTCTTTTTTTGGGTTATTAGTGAAACAACCAGGCATTTTCTGCTCTGGAGAAAAGATTTCAAAGTGACATCTGCATTAACTGTGCTTGCTGTTTATTAAATCTGCAATTACATTGCTTCATTTTTCTTTTAAACTTGTAAGACATTAAATATGCAAGGCTAGCAAGCTTGTGGTAAACCATAAACATTGCATTTTTAATGGGAAACAGATACAAAACCACTCCCTCAGCTACAAGCCAAGGGAACAGGCTGCCAACATAAGTCTTCTCTTAAAGGGAAACTCAGTAACTGAGTGGGAGTGGGCTCCTAGACAAAGCTTAACGTTGAACTTAAAGTGGCAGTGCGAATAATAATCTTTATGATGTTTTTTTTAAATGAAAAGCCACAGGCCCGTATTCAACATGTGCTGCTTTAGACATATATCAGTAGTAAATATAAACTAAGGAAAAATGTAAGAGACTGAAAAATATTTGTTTCTTCTTTAGCAAATTCAGGCAAAAATTTCCAGAAGATACCTTAGGGTTAGAACATACAAAGATCTTTGTTTTCCCTTTTTCTTTTCTCTTCTTCCTTCATTTCTTCTTCTTTTTTTTTTTAAACATACACTACAATTGGATAATGACTCAAAACAACTCTAAAATTCTACTCACAAACATACAGCTTTAATGTGGAGTCTTCTAAGTGTACAATTCAAGGTAGAGATGCTGAGACTAAATATCTACAATGTTTTGGAGCTATCAGAATAGTTTCAGTGAGATTTGAAAATATTTAATCCCCAAAATGACTTTGTTTCTATATAATCAAGTACCTTTTATTATTCAGATTAATTACAACTTTGTCACTGAGATTTATTTAGTGCACTTCAATTGATTTAACAACATAGATTAATGCTTGTGGAATGAATGAAATAAATATGCAATACAATTATTGAAACAATACTTTGTTTTTTACAAAAAGCCCTGTTGGCAAAATAAGATTGTATATACATCACGTGAAATCAGTTAGGATTGTCCATATGTGTTTATTAGCTTATTAAAAATAATGTTTGAGAAACTAGGGAATTGATTTTTTTTTAAAGTCTATCTTGCTTATACCAAGTTGAAGTTTACAATCTGCTAACTTTTTTATATCAGAAATTTGATATTGAAAAAAAGCTAATTTTGTGTTTTAAAAAATCAAACTGATTGAAGAAATGGAATAAATCATATTGTGAATAAAGTGATGGCCATTTGAGTCATTTGTGTGCAAAATATTGTGCAAGGCGCGGATACAGAACAAGGAATAATAAGACACGCCCTGAAGCAGTACATCGTCTAGTGGGGGGACAGACCAAGCACGCAAAGCAAATTGCAATATAATGTGATAAGTTATTTAAAAGAGGTAAGAGCAACGTGCTTTGGGAGCAGAGAAGAGGGAGAAAGCAGCATCCTGCCTGGATGAGCCAGGGAACACAGAAGAGAAGACCACTATCTCATTTAATCTTTACAACACTCTTGCAAGGTTGGTATTCTACATGGCAAGTAGCTTCAGTTGTCCGGGTTCAGGTGAGGATGTGGAATGTAGTGACAATGAAAAGGAATGTGGCTAGAGCTATTAATTCGTATCAAATTATGAGTGGTCTGAAAACAGCACAGGGACTATGGACAGTATTGATAAACCTTGGGAAGTTAATAAATGATTTGTAGTAGAAATTAATAAATGACATTGAATTTTTAGAAAATGATTCAGACAGCACAGTGGAAGATGGCCTGAAACAGAGGAAATATGCAAGGCAGAAATGAATTGGAAGCTCTTGTAGTGGTTTAGGGAAAGATGAGAAAGCCCTAGACCAAAATAAATGTGTTGGGATGGAGAAATGTGACTGGCTTCCGGAAATATTTCTGAAGCAGAAATTGGAGATCTCCTATGTATATAGAGAGAATTTTATTTGACTATGGCAAGGCTTGAGTGAAGTAAGGATTGAAAAGTCCAACATGATTGACTATCATGACAATTTTGCAAATGATTTGGATCTATAGTATATCATCATAGTTCAGACCCAAGATTCAAACAAGCAGATTTAAATAATATTCAGATTTCTCATCCTACGTAAATAGCTGTGCAAATGATGTTAAAATGTACCTGATCACCTTTCAATACATTTTTAATGCTCTGTTTCCTGACAATAAATGAAAGATTATTTTTCACCTTTTCTCTGCGCTCACTCTATTGTGGCATATTATATGAGAAACAACATACAATATAGGCAGTGCCGTTTTTCTTAAATCTCTCACTTGTTTCCTAGGTTTCCTGGTTGTGAAAATACATGAGATAAATCATGAAGGCCACTATCATCCTCCTTCTGCTTGCACAAGTTTCCTGGGCCGGACCGTTTCAACAGAGAGGCTTATTTGACTTTATGCTAGAAGATGAGGCTTCTGGGATAGGCCCAGAAGACCCTTATGACCCCGGTTTAGAGGCACCCCTAGGCCCAGTGTGCCCCTTCCGGTGTCAATGCCATCTTCGAGTGGTCCAGTGTTCTGATTTGGGTGAGTGGGATGCAGGTTCTCTTTATGTATCTTATTTGTTCTGTTCTTGAGAATGGAAACTGAGTTTAGCGTTTTCAGTTTTAGTATCTCCAAATGTGAGAGACAGTGCCACCTAATGAGGAGTAAAGGAAGCAGAACAGGATAGAAAGAAAAGCAGCTTTGTGATTCTCTCTCCTCTTCCTTTCTTTCTTCCTTCTTTCCTTCATTACTTTGCGATCTTGGACAAATCACTTTTAAAAATAGTTCTGAGCTTTACATCCTTCCTTATACAAAATAAAAGTTTGAGCTGAACAATGTCTTATGTTCTAAAATTTCAGAGTGATGGTTTAATCTTAATTCTGTAATGTGCTTTTATGATATATTAGATATTTAGAAAACCAGGTCAGTCCCTCTACTATTCACATAGCCCAGATAACAGAGTTTCAACATTACTAAAGTGTAAAATATGCAGTTATCAAAAACAAAACATGTAAATTTTTATGACAAAATCTTATCTTTCAAGTACCAAAATACTCCCTTAATCTCTGAGTCTTCGTTTTGTCTTTACTTTTGACATATTGTAATCTAGCTGCTTATATTCTTTAGAAAGTTTCAAAGGACATATTTATCACTAAGGTATGGTAAATATTCAGTATAATCGTGTTACATATATCTTTAGCCTAACACCCTAAAGACCATTTGATTTATCATCGTTTAAGAAAAATTTTGTCTGGAAATTCCAAGAGCTATACATTTAGAAGATGAGTCTCCAGAAACATTGAAGCTCAGTATATGGACCAAAGGGGAATGAACTCAGTTTATATGGCAGCTGATTCACATTCCTTTTTCTGAGGGGGTGTATTTTCTTATTATAGATTTAAAGGGGAAAAAATCTTTGTATCATGATTCTGCCATGTGTACTTCCTTCTGGAAGAAATCCCATACCACCATCAGGCACTTCTTTCAGTCCTAGAAAATGCTTTCTAGCAGTAGTTTGCAGAAAAAAAAAGCCACTAACTTCTACAATTGGAATAAACTACCTACAGGCACCCAGAAAAACATAAAATATATTCAGTAGTAACAATTGAAAAACAAACGCTTGAAATAGCTTCTTCAATGCATATATTGTATAGCCATTTAAAACCCCAAATAAAAACTATAGAAAGGCTTTCAAAAGGCCACAGGATAATTCCAGTGGATTGATTTGTTCACTCATTCAGCAACTAAGATCAGCTCTGCTCTGGGCCTGGGGAGGAAAGGATGAGGAAGACAAATATGGCCCTAGTTCTTGTGGATCTTATATTCTAGTGGTTGTAACTACTACTTTTTGAATTGTCTATTTGCCACAGGGGAGATTGAATTCCTCTTTAGCAACTTTATAAGAATCTAGAGATGACCTGCATTATTGTCTTGGGCAGGAAAAAAACAGGGTTGAAAAAATCTGAACAAAAAAGTCACCATTTGATGGATATGCACAGGATAATCTTTTGTGAAGTTACTAAAATGGTGAAGTTCCCAAAGAATGTGATGCGGGTTAAATTTTACTTAGCCTCTGAGAACAAGTTAAAATAATTTATTATTATTCCCATTTTGTTATAAAAAATGAAGGGTTAATGTTTCTAAGGAAAGAAGAGTCGGCCAGTCACTTTGCTGAAGTTTTATTTTTTCATAAGTATAGTTTGCGTTTGCTTTTATAAAAAATAGTTCATAATGCTTGACCCTGATGAAAGCACTGGGCTAGTTTTCCGATTCTCTGTTATGTAAAAAGGCATAAGTCTATTGTTCAAAGCGAAACAACAAATTGTAGTCTTAGGAAACAGCAAGTTCACTTACTTGTGAGCTTTATGATAATTTTGTTGTTTGCATTGACATTGTTTTGTTTATTTTGTTTTGTTTTTAGATGAGAAAGTTTTCTACATGCTATCTTTTATCTAGAAGCTCAGAGTATACATTATTCCTTTATTACAGCTAGGTTTACTGACCCATATACTAAGGAAGTAGCTAAAATTATTTTTAAAAATTTGATTTTAAGACCATATTTAACTAAGAGAACTAAAGTTCTAATGAGCAGTGCTCTTATGAAAGGTATTTTCAATATTTTAAAATGTACAGGTGAATATTTAAATATATTATAACATTTTTAATCAGCTATTTCTAAAAAAATACATTTCTTAAAAGAAATTGAAATTCACCTCATTTAAAAAATGAGCTCATTTCATATTTTGTCTATTGTCTACTCTTTCTTCCTTTATGATGATGGCAAGCTGTTGAGAGCCTTGACATCTTCATTTGCAGAAAAATTACAGTCTTAGAAATTCTGTTAAATGTATGAGGTACCTGGGTCATAGTAGCAGCTTAATGCATTTTTAAAATTATATGATGATTATATGTAGTAACAGGTGAAGCAAAAGAAAGAAAGGAAGGAAGGAGAAATGGACCACCTCATTCATTATACATGCAATACAGTTGATTTCTTCTTTGTTTATGTCCTCTAGTAATCTGAGCATGAAGCTTGAAGTGTTGTTATAAAGAAAATAAATGCAATGCAGTTGGGGATGGCAAATGTTAATGCTTATTTGTATCAAAAACCAACATTGTGTTCAGGATTATCCTTGGTAGATTATCCTTGGCAGACATTTAGTGAGCAGAGAGGAGCTACAGTGTTGAAGGACAATAGTCTTTTGTCATCTTATTATCTAAACAATGTTTAATATAAACTTTTAAAATTAAAATATTTGACTACTTTTTTCCAGTAAGAAATATTCTTGGCAAAGTTAAGTAACATCAAATTTTTAAACAATTCTTTCAAACCTAAGAAGTAAAAATCTGTGAAATTAAAATTATATAATTACTCTGCAGGGTGATTTGAGGCTTCTGGAAGATGCATGGACAGTTTTAGTCCCTAATTCTGATTTATCACAGTAGTATTAAAATGTGCTTTTTTTTTTTTCTTTAGAGGATGAGGGATTGAGACAGTAAACATGAATTCTTCATAGATATTGGCCAAGTTGTTTTGTTGAACTTGCAACTTACCTTGTAACTGGAACCACAATTTTATAAGACTCATATCTTGTCTTCTTTTATCTATCATGTTAAGACATAAATCAGTTCTCTCTTAATTACAGCATTTATTTCAAAAAAGCAATATTAAAAATAAATATAGAGTTAGCAAATTCAGTCTTTCAGTTACTTTGTAATAATGAATCCACAATGTAACTCATTCTTTTAAAAATCAAATATTTTTTAAATGTCCAGATTTTGATTGGATTCTCAGTTTTATATGTTTGACATCCTGAAGGGAGACAGTTTTCCTTCCTCCTTAGGTACTCTTTGACCTAGCTGTCATCTTTGGATCAAGTGTGACCAGGTGGTATAATTTGGTATAGACTTATTCCTCATTACTGAAATGCAAATTAACCCTGACAAGTTAAATAAGGATAAGTATTGTCTTTTGACTAGACTCCAAAATTAAAATAATAATTCTGGATATATTTCTTATAAACAAATTTCAAAAGAGTTGAAATACCTCTTAATACTGTTTAATAGTGGAAAACACTTGGGCTGTGCAGTTACACACCTCTGATCTCAAATTCTGCTTTGCTGTTCACTACCTGTAACCTTGAAACTTCAGAAGTTTGTTTCTTCATTTGATAAATGGAAATATATCTTATTTCAATGGATAAGAATAGAAAATACATGTAAAAATACTTATTATAGTAACAGTTACATTTCACTTATCATTTCAGACAAAGCTAAGAACATGATGCTGTTTCTGATATTTTCTTTTATTTTTATAACTGAGAATAATAAGTATAAGCCATATACTTAGACACTCTCAATGGTTTGTACTTATTATTCTCAATTCAAATTATATCATCTTTTACTTATGAAAATAAGACTCCTAACAATTCTCTAATAAGTATATGGCTTGTCAAGCTAGAGAGAAAATAGTACCATCTGTCTCTACCTCTCTAAAAAGACCACATCATCTCCAAGTGTAAATAGACAAGAATTTTAAAAAATTGTACGTTTAGCAAGCAATTGAATGTTCTCCAAACCAATATTCCTTTGAACAAAATGAGTTTGTTTGATTTGAGAACAATGAAGCATTTGGTTAATTTATAATCATAAATGATTCATACCCCACACAGCCCTCTAGAAATGGTGCCAGAAGATGAAACACATTTGAATTTGCCATATAAAAGCAATTCAAAAACTACTGGTTTCTAATAATGTAGCTTACAATGCAAATAATGTTGTAATTTTTAAAATCTCAGAAAAAGTACAACCTTTTAAATTGTATAGTTGCTTCCTCTTCATAATCATTTTTCTTGAACTGGTGAAAAATTTTGTCAGTGGTTACCACCTACGACATATTGTACTACAGCTTCTCGCTTGGCTGGGAAAACTGGTTTCCCAGAAGCAGACCTTATACATGAGGTAAATGAACCATTAGACTTCTCCCATGAAATCAACCCAGAAAAATAAATTGTACTATTTTGCAGAGAAACAGACAGAATACCAGAGGCTCAGTTGCCTTTTTATTTTATGTCTGGCTCTGCAGCAGTAGGAGTATGAGGGGTTCCTCATTCAGAGTTTTGGATGCATCAAAAGGGTGTTTCCAAAACATGATATGGGAAGGAGGCTGTGCACAGAGCATGCCACTGGGTTGCCTAAAGTGACATTGTGTAGGAGTGGAGTATGGGTGATCTTCAGATGAAGCAGGAGTAATGCTCAATGCAACCCAGTTAAACAAGTCTCCTGACTCAAGGGGTTAAAGATGGAGAGGAGGAAGAGAGGGAGTCAAGAAGGCCAAAGGAAGCGTCTGTCTCCTTGACCTGACTGAGAACTAACAGAGCCCTGGTTTCCTTCTCAGCCCCAGGAGGGAGAGAGAGGCAGCTGTGTGGGATCAAGGCGTTTTGTTAGACTGCAGCTGGGATTCATTCTCCTTTGGAAGAACATCCCTAGCTCCAGGGGATATGGTGGGAATTGGTTAGCTAAACTATCCATTCCTTGGGTAA